TTGCATCCCTCCGCTGCTGGTCCCCCCTGCCTGGCCTGGCAGAACGAGGCCAAGGGCTCAACCCCACAGTGCTCACCATGAAGCTGGACGTAGTCCCCGATGCGATCTGCAGCCTCGGGAGAGAGCCCCTTTTCTCCCACCATCTCGCTCCTCACTTCTTCCCATGGCATCTGTGAGGGGAAGAGAACAACATCACCCACTGCTCCAGGGATCTTGTCTCTCCTGGGGGAGGTCTCTGGGGGTCCTGCCCAATACAGATGAACAGATATATCTGCCCTCAGCAGATCTTTACACAGCAGAACCCCGTCAGTGTTTAAGAAGTGCATGAGAGAAGCAGCAGATCAGATGCTCTCAGAGAAGGGTCATAGGGTCAGAACTCTACTTCTTGTACTTCTGCACAATCTGTTTGTATCCCAATCCTGATGTCAGCAAAGCTGCCCAAAAAACTTGGAGCCCCAAGGTAAATACTTTGGTTTTGATTTCCAGCCAGAATCCAATATAGCTACTGTAAAAGTCCCAAGTTCGAGAGATGTCTTGCTGCTGTCGTTTTCCTGGTTAGGTATTTAGTCATCAATACCAGGTAGGCAAGTTTTGCTGGTCATGGCTTCCACCTGGGCAGGTGTGAGGAGGTGGCCAGGTGATGAAAGAACCCAATGTAAGCAGAATATGGTGCAGTTTTGCCATTGACCGAAGAGAACCACTATCTTGATCACGTCCAACTGCACTGACATAAATTATAGCATTTCAGTACGAAAACAAGGAAATTACCCCATTCTAAAACAGCCCAACCCTCCCTTCCTGTTGTTTTTTCATGCATACACAGCCCCAGACCCTATACTTGGGTCATGCCTTTGCAATATATCTCACTGGTAACAGGACTCAAAAGTCAGCCCCACTCTAGTTGGAAGGTCTGACTGTCAGACAAGGCCTCCACAGGGAAAAGCAGTTCATCCTTGAACACAGCAACATGAACACACAAGATGAGACACAAGGCCGCTATGTTTAAGAAGGTTTCACAACCATGTTAGAAGCACCCCTGTAAGCAGCCAGCCCACAGCGTCCCTCACAAGAGTCTGAACACACACAGAAATTCGCCTCCAGACCCTACTTTGGCTCCTAAGCCAAGATGTTGAAGCTCCCACATGAAGAGCATTTTCCCTCTCCCTCCTTCCATTTGTCAGGATCTCATTGGATACTGGAGAAGAAAGCATAAGACCCGGTTTTCCTATGTGACTGCTGCACCCTGCGTGCCTTCCCTCCAGAGAAAGGGGGAGGCGGGGAAACAAGAACTCAATGTTTTATGGGCATTTTCCAGCCAGTTTTCATGGACCATGGTAAGAGCAGCCCAGAGGGACAGAGACTCAGTGAAACTCCAGCAGCAGCAGTCACAGCTCAGGGCTCCAGCCTGTACCTTATCCAGTTTGTCAACGCTGGAGCAGATTGTTCGGAACTTGCTGTCTGGGACACCGCAAACTGCAAACATCCCATCGAGGATGCGGCGATCGTTGACCTGGGGAAGAGGGACCAAGTCATTAACGATGAACTCCTAGAGCCACAAACAACTCACTCAACAGAGAAAATAAACCGACAGGGCCTGTGAGTCCTCCCAAGTTGACAAGTGAAAACAGTTCAGAAACAGACCATGGACTAAGAAGGTGAATTCAGTGCATTACCCTGCTCTCCCAGAGTAAGAACAAAGGGACTTTTTTTTATAGTATAGTGAATTCCACAGTTCAATTACATTCTGTAGTAGCAGGTAATTGAGGCCAAAGGCTCAGCTGGATTCAACATTTCCATGGGCAGTGAAAATATCTACAATTAAATTAGACAGAAACAAAGACTGCTCAGGAGTCTGCAATCCTCCAGCATCAATGTGAACCAAACAACGGTTTATGGAAGACAAGAATAACTGCAGGCAGGTTATTCTGCTGTTCCCCATTGCAGGGGGACCTTCCCATCCTCGACTGCAACTGCTGCCACCGCTGCCCAAATGCACAGGAGCTGGACAGGCAGCTTTGGCTCAGTTCAGACAGGTTGAAGAGCAGGTTACTGCCCCCCTACCCAGGGGGGACTGCACACAGGAGCACAACACTCACTCACCTCCACTGTAGAGCCCAGTCCCAGCCCAGCTCTGGGTCCCTCTCAGAGATCCCACCATCCTCCTGCACACCAGGCACTCCTACCCATCGCTCTCCCGCTGCACGCCCTTCCCCGTCCCACCTGACCCGCACATCCAGCACCATTTGCTGCCGCACCAAGATAACAGAGGCAGCTTCAAGCAAACAGCAAGTTCTACCTACAGCAGGGCATGACTCTTCTTTTGGAAGAGGCCTCAGCCTCCAGAAAGGATTTGGTGGGAAGGCAGGAGCCCGCAGAAAGCACAGCACACATGCGGAGCAGGCATCCCTGCTAAGGGGGCAGCAGAAGCTGGGACAGGGATCCTGGGCTGGAGCCTGTGTTTTACTGCAGAATGTTTTGCAAGGGACTGTGGTTAGTGCTAGAGAACTCTGCTACCTGCAGCCTCAGGAAAACTCCTTGCATTCCCAACTAAAGGCAAGCCTGAGCCTTTTAGCATGCACACCACAAGGCGGCAGAGAGGCGGGATGAACTTCTGGATCAGGCTGTAGCAGGCGACAGAGTGGGAAGGGTGCTGCTGTGTAACAGCGCAGAGAGAACGAGAGAACAACAGCACGGAGAAACCCAACCAGTCTCACCTTAATGAGAAAGTCCCCAAGCTGCAGGTCACTCAGGATTTCGTGCACAATCTTCAGGCACTCAGCATCAGGAATCATCGGGTCAAACTGGCCAGCGATGTCAAAATCCTGGGGCACAGGAAAAGGCGGTGAGCAGTTCAGCATTGCTGGCGCAGCTGCAGCAACACAGGCTTGCTTCTGCTCTTAGCAGCAGGTTGTTCACAAAAAGCAACAGAAATGAGATGTAAAAGAGCACTAGCCCTCACCAAATGGATCCAGAAGGGACAAGGTGTGGGTTATGACCCTCCTATGACCTCCCAGCAGTGCACTCAAGGCCATTACTTTGTAAAGGGTTTGTACACTGCGTCGTGGTCAGCACAGAGAGTTTGCAAGAAGCTGTTCTGCTTCTGGATCTGTGTGACCTGCTCCCTGCTTCCCACACACCAGCTTGCTGCACAACATGCTTTGAAACAGAAATTCTTGGAAAATGACTAAAAGGAGACAGCAGAGTGATCATCAGCAGTAAACAAACAGAACAAAGGAACCAGGAAGAGGGGGAGAAAACTCATATCGTATGACCTAAATGCCAAATGTTTTGCCTTGATCTTTAGGATGTTCTTTTTTTAATACACACGCCCATCAAGTTAATGATCACAGAAGAAGACAAGAGAAGTGATCTCAACTGAGGCAAGACCAAAGTTTCAACTGCCAAGACAGAAAAAAGAAATCAGAAAGCCTGAGTGGTCTCTACCAGATGAACTAGCACATGGAACTAAAGCCCAACAGCAACATGTTTTAATAGGCTGGTACCCTGTGACTGGGAAATAGCAGAGACAACAGCAACATTCAGAGAGAAATAAGACACAGAAGCAACAAGAGACCCCTTTTCACTCCCATGTATGAATCCCCAAAGGCAAAGTCTTCAACAGAATTCAGAGTACCAGCAGAATTTTAATTAAGTGCATAAATTTCAAGACGGCTTCACCAAGCTTCCAAAATAACTGGGGCAATAGAGGAGGAACAAGATGAGATCCCATCAATTTATCCCTGACCAGCTGAATGGAAGGCTGATGCAATCCTGAGGGAAGTTGAGCAAGGTCTGGTAGAGTCAGGAAAGTGCCGCTACTGCTGTAGGTGGCGCGAGTGGTATCTTACTGAAAAAAACCAACCAAGGGCCAGTGAACTGTATTTAAGATGCAGAAAAAGCTTCTAGGCTGAGCAAAGCATCTCCAGGGAGAGAAGGTAACAGAGCTTGGCCTAAGGAGGTGAAGATTTCTCTAAATATTTCCCAAATGTTTCTCTGGGAAAGAACTCATATTAAGGGATGACAGCTACCAGTTAAAGAGCTGCACCAGCACAAGAAGTAAACTATCAGACATGACTATTTCTAGCTGTCCTATGAGTATGATCTTGGAATTTCAGATGGGACAATGGGGAAAATCCCCAGGTTGTCTGGAAATGGGAATTCACTGAGCTGGAGCTGGGAAGTATCCACAGCAGTTGTACGATGAAACAAGAATATTCTTGAACAGGAATTTGTTTTCAATATGAGGTCCTGAGGACTGGGTTTGTGCAGCAGAACAAAGCCATTCCTCAGGGCTACCACACTAGTCTGAGAAAGCCACAAAAGAAATTGCTTTCTTACTTGTTCTGCAATTTGGCCTCAGGGTTTTTACCTTCCTTTGAAATGAAAATTGACTAAGCCTGGGATCGAAGTAGCGTATGCTATGGCCAGGTCATTCCCTTGTATCCTGCCAACTCACCCTGGAGTTCAAATGCTGCCAGATTTGGGGTCAGAAGGAAATTCTCCCTGCTCTGCCAGAGGGGAGCAAGGGATGGAGCACGGAGCTGTCCTCCTCCAACATTGTGAATCAGCCCAGGTACCCGGGTGCTGTATTACAAAGTTCCCCACGTCCCAACCACTCTCCTCACTCTCAAGCTGTTTTTCACACCCATAAAGGCACCCTGAGGAGATCAATGGATCCTCCTGAGCTTTCCACAGCCCCGGGGAAGACCGCTGCAGGTTAACGCACCCTTTAGCCCTGCTACAGGGCTACATCCCTGCAAGCACTGCCCAGCCTATGGCCTCACTAGGCAGCGTCCCTGCCAAGGGCCAGACTCACACACTGGTAGAACTCCCTGTAGCGGCCCCTGGTCATGGCCGGGTTGTCCCGCCTGTAGACCTTAGCAATGTGGTAGCGCTTAATGTTGGTGATCTTGTTCATCGCCAAATAGCGAGCGAAGGGCACCTGGGACAGAAGGGTTAAGGACAGGAACGGGGAGGGATCACCCCACTCAGTTATCAGTCACAGGCAGTGCCAGGTCCTCACTATCTCCCCACAACACTCAGTGCAGTTTAGGGCAAAGCAAGCACTAAGAGACCGCTCGTGCTGCCGTTAAATGTCCCTGCAGGCATCTTCCAGCCCCACCTCTGGTAGGATCTCAGGCTGTGTATGGCAGCAGCTGAGTCTGGGTATCC